GTGTGTGTGTGTGTGTGTGTGTGTGTGTGTGTGTGTGTGTGTGTGTGTGTGAAATATGTGAACTGTGCTTAAGATAATGCAATTACCTACACCTACATCTCCATGCCTCATGTAAGTCATGTACTAACAGTTACCAATACTGGAGTAAGAAATTCCGTGCTTAACAGGCTACGAGAACCACGTTTCTGCATAATGCCTGTCAATGTATGCTTGTAATAGATTGTGAGACTGACAGAACTCTTTTGCTTCGCCCAAGAGAAATTAGAAATGAGAAACATTGCAAAAATATCTCTCATTAGCGTACTGTCTTTGTAGTCATACATGTAGTTGAAGAAGGCATCGCTCTGATACAACGGCCGGGGTGTTTGGCCTCTTCTCGTTTCCACTTACCATCCTATGACGATGGGCATGGCGCTTTTTAGAGGGTGATTTGTTTAAAAGAAAAAGGTGAAAAAAAGATGGAGAGAAAAATATGCGGGCAGCTGTGAACGCAAGAAAAAGTTAAAAGTTTTGCTTTTCGTCACATCATCGCATGTCTTTTCAGATGTTGCATATTTATTCTGACTGCTGCGGGTGGTTGGGGGCGCCACTAGTACGCCCTACGTCTTTTCTTATCCTCTAACTTTTCTCTCCATCTGTTTTACATTTTCCCCCAACGCTAATTTACCAAATGACGGTAATGTGTGGGTGTGAGTCTCTTTAAGCAAACAACCAATCAAACCAAACAAACGAAATGCGTATTTATATGTCTTGGCTGTTACCTTGTTCTCGTTCAATTTGTGAGTGGTATTGACTCGTCGCTTCCATTTATTGTGATCTTCTACTATCTGTTCATAGATACCAAAGATTGTACACAACAAGATGGTTCACTCAGCCAAAAACTTGTCCAAGGAAGTTCGCGCATTGTTTTGAAGCTCTCTTTTGTTCCTATAAAAAAGAATAGGATTAGCACCGTTTGTTAGTTCCGCCTTTATTGTTTTTCACGTAAGTAGGGTAACTCTATTCGCAAAGTCCGCACTTTTTCGAAGAGGGCGCAACCAGATTTTGAGGACACTTTTTTTAATTGGCTCAAAGAGAGGAGTGAACTATTTTGTTATGTAAGAACTTTGTAGATACTAAAGGCCCAGTTACGCGTAATGATAAATTGTACAAAAAGTGGACGATAAATCGTTAGGCGTAACAACAAAATTGTACAAAATTTGGACGATTGAACGATGGTTTGGAGACTCGGTCGAGAAATCAAGCGTTGCTTAATATTTTCCATGCGATCACGTTCCGATTTGAGGGAGACGCGCTGTGATGTAGATTCACTTTGAAATTTGCCGCCGCGCAGAATTAAACTCAGGACTCAATTTTTTAAAATAATTACCGTGCGTAAAGACTGATTTCATAATCGGAATCAGCGTCTCAAAATAAGCAAAGTTGTTCGAGTTGAACCTGATTTGGTGCGTTAGTATTAAAATTTATATTTTAGCAATTGTATTATTATTTAGTTGATCGTCAATTGTGAAGCTGCGCTTCAAGGTCACTTGGTGCGTTGCACATCTGCAGTCAAGTCAAAGCTTCAGGTTCTACACACAACACGGTAGGCCTACAGTGTGGCCACCCTTTTCTAAAGACACTGTTCTGCTATATCAAAAATGTACAGGGGAAAGGGGGGGGGGGGCTTCTGTGATCTAGAGGTAGTGTGCGCCTTTCATTCATTAGGTCCAGAGCTCGAAACCTTCACATAGAGAGCAGGCAAATTGCGATCGTCGCAAAGAGACATGGTGGCTTTATGACGAGGAATCACCTCAATCGATAGAAAACTGGACGATAGATTGGAATGTCAAGCTTTGACTTGACTGCATTTGACCCGTCCCCTTCTTCTTTTCGTGTTTCCTTTCTAGTTTCTGTCAATCATTGCACACCATTGCCTATTCTGTCGTGAGTAATCTTTTGCTGCTGCACGCAGAAGACGAGAGTTCGATTCCCGAGTTGAGAAATTATACTGTTACATATCTCCATCTGCCTACCTCGTAGCTGCCGTTGGCCCTGACAGGCGCATAGTCGATGTAGCTCACCTCCTAAATGATTTAAATTGCGTCGATGGGGGCCTAAAACGTTCACAATCGCAGGTCTACAATCAGTGCACCAAATCACACTGACAATAGAAGAGCCCGCCAACCCCCCCCCCCTTTTTTTCCCTTTCCCTGTGATTATGCATTTAATATCGATCTATGTATTGTGAAAATCGTACTTGAAGTTCGGTCTGCTGTTTTTGAAATGAAGAATATTACGGGTGGTCCCACAGTCTGATGATCTTAACCTGGGGGTAAACTGTGGATGGCGTAATCTATGTATTCTAACGGCCCTTTTAACACAGTACGGCGAGACGATAGAACCCCAAATGGAAAACCCATCTCCGATAGGACGGGGTCAAACGGGTTGAAGAGTCGTGGAAACTCCTCTAAAATCACCCTCGTTCAAGGTTGCCGCGTTTTGGGAGACAAACAGGGCGATCCGCTTCGTAGTCCATCACGGTACCATTAACATAATATGTTTACCTACTTTGCTTGGTCCTATTGGAGATGGAAGTTTAATCTAGAGTTCCTGCCTCTTAAAAAAAACTTACAGAGTTGAAAGTGGCCTTAAACCGATACCATACCACCAGAGATGTTTTGGATCTCGTACTGTTTTGTCCTGAAACAGAATGGCGTGTTGATATTTCTAGGTGAGCCCGTATTTCAATTTGTAAAACTCTTGCCTACTCAGGTTCAAACCTATTTTAAAAGCCATCTGTTGAACGCTGGCTCTACGATATCCAATCAGAAATGGAGGTCAACTCGGCGACAAATTAATTGTCTTGAATAATCAAAACAGTTGGGAAAGTGGCTTCCGGAGTTCAAGCTCAATCTGATAACATTCCGGAGGAG